CCCCCAAAACCCCAAAACCCCAAAACCCCGTGGGTTGCAATTTGGATTGAATAATCCATATGCTATATAAACTTTACAAGCAACAAAATGGCGATTCAGATAGCAAGTATTGACATCCCTAAGATATCGTCCCCAGTGAATGAGTAATTGAACACGAAGATGTCAATGAAGATGGTGAACATTATCTCCAAGTTCCTTATCGGTCCTACATAAATGGCTTCCATGTACTGGGTGGCTACATAGTAAGTGGCCATGAAAGCACATCCTCAAGCAGCATGCACTATATTCAGAGTGAGCCATTCACTTACGATTGAGCATGAAAATGTCATAACCTGTGTACATTTCAAAGTGAAACACGTCTTCGAATATGAAAGAACAGATGATTGTCGCAACAACGAAATGTATTCCGTTGGAAGTGCCAAACAGGCTAAAATGCACTTTGTAGATGTTAAGCTGACGTGAAGCCACAACAGATGCTCCAGTTGCCCAAACTGCAATAATTGCAGTGAAGTATGCAGACACACCTCCTTGCTTATGAGTATCTTCCTTACTCATGGAGAGTACATAAACACCTAAAATTCCTCCAATCAATCAGATCACATATGTCCATCCAAAACGTTCTCTTAAAAAGACCCAAGCTAATAATGCTCAAGTGATCGCACTGCAGCTAAAGATCAGAGTTGACTTTGAAAGTGGAAGCCTGGCCACAGTGTAACTCTCTGAAGAATAATTTATCACTCCTAGAAAAGATCTCAAGATTATAAAGAACAGCGCTATCTTTGGTAGTCCGGGAACCTGTTTATATGATTTGGATGCTAAAGAGAATCAGGAGCTAAAAATAGCCATCACTAGTCCTCTGAAGAAAATTATATCGTAGACTGAGATATACGGACTGGCAAAAGACATCATTCTGATTAAGGTATGCTTCAAAGTAAGAACAAGGACTCAAGTCACCATGACCAAAGTTCCAATAATGTAGTTTGACTTATTCTCATTTCTCCGTACGTCCGATTCTTTTTGAACACTTCCTTCAAGATCTTTCCGCTCCTGAAGCTGAGAGTCATCTGTATTCATTGCATCTATTCCTTTCTTATACTCAAGCATGGGAACAGAATTCTTCTCTGGAGAATCAAAGGTCTCTAGGTTTACATTTTCATCAAATTTTCCGTGCATCATTGAATTTATCAATAAAAATATAACCTAGGGGTTTTGGGGTTTTGGGGTTTTGGGGTTTTGGGG